CTGCAGGCACAACAGAATGCAGGCTCCTAACAGGGTGACCAGCAAATGCTGAGGGGTAGGAGGGGAAAGGGCACTGAGGGTGAATGTGCCACGTAGGGGATCAGGCATCAAGTCCAGAAAGCTACTGTCAGATGTGGCACTGACACCCCAGAAGAACTGGGGGGCCCTGCATCTCCGCGTAGGGGATCAGGCATCAAGTCCAGAAAGCTACTGTCAGATGTAGCACTGACACCCCGGAAGACCTGGGGTGCCCTGCATCTCCACTGACGTGCGCCTTGTGGAAGCATTCACGTCTGTGCAAGCTGGGTGCAAATTGCCACCCAATCAGCACTTCTCACTGCCCTGGCTCCTGCACAAGAGCAAGGCAATGGAGAGTCAGGCCCGTTGGAGACCTTATGCCCGATGTTATACTGGGCTCTGTACCAAGCCAGGTTCCCTACAGCCAGTTTTACACTGAGGATTCATCAGGCTCCTCCAGCCTGGTTACCAAGTGACATTAGCCAAAAGGGAAGCTTTGTGCAGCCAAAGTCTGAGTTCTTCAAAAGAGGACTTTTGAGACCCCCTCGTCTCCAAGGGGGATGAGCACGTGGTATCCATCACCCCAGGCTCTTCACAACACATCAGGCCTGATGCACACAGGTGTGAATACGGAGTAACCCCACTGCCTCAATGGTGTAAACGAGCACAATCAGCTGCTTCCCTGTGCTGTGGGAATTACCTAGTTCTTTGGGCCTAACCAAACTTCCTTGACAGACAGAGCCCCCGACAACCACTCAGGCTACATCTACATTGGCAAGATTTTGTGCAAATACTTTACACGCAAGAGTTTTTGCGTTAAAGTATTTACGCAAGAGAGCGTCTACACTGGCATGTGCTTTTGCGCAAGAGATGTGCTTTTGCGCAGAAGCATCCGTGCCAGTGTAGACGCTCTCTTGTGCAAGAAAGCTCCGATGGCCATTTTAGCCATCGGGCTTTCTTATGCACTGGCGTCTTGCGCAAGAACAGTTGCACAGGAGGGCTTATTCCTGAGCAGGAGCATCATAGTTCTTGCACAAGAAGTACTGATTTCACACATTAGAACGTCAGTGTTCTTGTGCAAGAACTCCCCACCAGCGTAGACAGGCAGCATGTTTTTGCGCAGAAGTGGGCGCTTTTGTGCAAAATCATGCCAATGCAGACACAGCTTCAGTGTGGCCCAAGTCGGCTTCCTCAGTGATAGCGAGGGGAGAATACTAGCTCCTTCCCTCGCAACAGGGTTGGGAACTAACACACTCCCATTGTACAGCATTTTAACCCCATGCATTAAAAGGTGCCACCAGAAGCGTCACTCTTGCTATTGGGTTATTATCCCCAGATGTGTGGCCTTCTGCAGGAAGAAATGATTGAAAGCCGGTGCCTATCCTGACTCACTGCCAGGGAGTTGGCGCGCTTACATGAAGGGTAAGGGACGACTCGATCACAGTCTATATATAACCAGAGCCATCCCGTCCATAGGATAGTTAGGGGCGGCTGTGCCAGGCCCCATGCTTTTGTGGGCTCTGTGGTGGCCACTTTAAGGTCCTCTGGATGGTATCCACAGGACCACAGAGGCCTGGGGGGCTTACCTGGGGGCCTGGTTCGGGGCAGCAGCAGGGATCGGGCCTCCTTGCACTCACCATGGATGCTCAGCTCTGCCACTCATCTCCCAGCCCGTTTCACTCCGCTATCGAGGTTATTTAGATGATTTAGACTAGACTAAATTTACAATTAAAAAATTGCATCTTTTTTCAACAGAGTCATTAACCATTGAAACAACTTGCCAAAGGAAGTGACGGATTCGCTCACACTTAGAAAAACAGCCAATATTTCCAATGATCTGCTTTAGTTCTAACGGAAATTAATTTGGGGAAATCCAGTGGTTCGCAGGCTAGATGATCGCAATGGTTCATCTGGCTTTATAACCTATGATTCTATGAACTTGGGACTGTTTTGTTAGGCAGATTAGAATCAGAAAACCAGATCCTATCCCCCTTCACCTTTGGGAAAGTTGGGGTCTGGATGAGAGCCAACTCTAACCCTAATTTTATTGTGAGTTCCATGATATTTGATTTTTTTCTTAAAGACCCAGCTGCTGGAGTCAGATGATTATCTGAACATCTCAGCGTTCTCTTTTTTTTGTTTTTTAAATAAGTTTCTAGCCCACCTGATTTCAGAGAAAAGTGGGAAAATGTGAACTCGAAATGCTCCAAATACAATGAACCCAAGTTGTAGGATTTTAAATCTTGTTATGTTGAAGCTAATTCTGATTTTGGGGGCCTGATCTGTGATTTTTGAACGGATGAGATTGGCAGTCCCCAGGCCCCCTTCTCCCCAAAGTGTGTTCTAGCAGAAGAGCCTTTATAATGGGAACAGATACCCTCATTTGAGAGACAGACTGTGACCCCAATTCCTTACTTTGCTTGGCATTTGTGGCTGGGGATGAGTGTTTGGGATAATAAATCCCAGAATGGATAGCAAACATGGGCCAACGTGGGTCCACTCAGCTTACGGAGGAGATCCACAGCTGGGATCCATGCTCTGGGGAGGGAGAAAAGGAAGGCGCAGAAATTCCAGCACCTGCACCCCAAACATTCCATCACACAGAAGGAAACTTTTCATCCAGCGCACAGCTCGAGGGCGTGTCTCCATCTGCAGCTGTACCTCTGCCAGGTCCCCAGTCCCGTCTCAGCGATCTTTTTACTCCTTCCCTTTGCAAAGCCTGATTACCAATCCTAAACAAGCGTGTTGTGATGGGCTGGCTCCCTGCCCAGAGACTGCATCAGAAATTCTGCTTGCTGTATCAGACGCCGAGGGGGTGGGGGAAGGGAGGGAAGCCAAGTGGAGTGAACAGCCTTGCTTCTTTCCCTTCCCAAGGATCAAGGCAAAGATGTGAAGAGCCCATTCCCGTAGACCCATCCCCGCCCTGAAGGACTTTGCACCAAGCACTGCTGGATCTGAACCGCACACGGGGCTGAGACGAAACAAAAGGATGACTGAGGATGTTGGACAGTTTTAGCAAACCAAGTTTCCTGTCTCCTTCCACAGAAGAACTGAGAAATTTAACAGGCCACTGAAATATTCAGGGCTCCATCGTGGGGGGAAAAATCCCAGACACTCGGTGAGAAGCAATTCACAAAGCAGAGGAGCAGGCAGACACATTCACTGGCCATACTGCACCTATCTCATTCTCTTTGGTTCTTATGGCTCCTGGCGGGGTCCACCACCCCACATCCCAATCCGGCCTTTTAGCCTGGCAGCACCTAGATACTATGGCAACGGCACTCCGTAAATAGGCAGATCTCTGCCCTTCTGATCTTGGGTGTGTAACTGGCTACTCCAGTGGTTTTGGTAACCCCCTTGCACACAGTAATGGCAGGTTTACGAGGAAAAAGTATGGAAATATGACAAGGAGGGCACAGGGGACAGATGTCTCCCCGTGTGGCGTGTTCCAAGTCTTTTGTGATGTCCCTAATAGGCCCCTAGTTGGAAACTGCCTAGTTACTATGGCAATGGGTGGCAGACTCTGTACAGCATCCTTTGAGTAACAGGAGATGATTTAAACCAGCCTTTATGTTTCCCATGAAGCAGAACAAGATAAAAAATAATTATTTGTTTTGTGAGTCACTGAGAGCAGAGCTAAGATTTCGGGGAAGCCCAGCAGAGGCTGTTTCGGGCACCACCTCAATACTGAGGGGACCGCAGGGCGTGGGCTTTGTGTTACCAAGAGGTCAAGTATAAGCAGCTGCCTGGCTAAGTGCGACTAACCCAGGAGAAGGGGGCCAGCCCGAATCTGAGCTTTGCAGCAAAAAGGGCAAGTAAGTGAAAGCTGAAATGAGCATTTCATAGAATCATAGAATCCCGAGGCTGGAAGAGACCTCAGGAGTCATCAAGTCCAACTCCCTGCCCAATGCAGGACCAATCCCAACTAAATCATCGCAGCCAGGGCCTTGTCAAGCTGGGTTTGATCTCCAGTGTTTAGGGGCCAGAGCCACAGGCTTTCCATGCCCCCAGAGGACAGGTTTGCTAAGAACTTGTGTGCAGGCTCTGCCAGGGGCATTTAGGCCCTTACCAACGAGCCTCATCTCTCGCTACAGGTAAAAAAGAGTTTCCCGCCGGACGACAGAATGTTCCTTCTGGGTGAAAGAATGGCGTCATCACGTCATCAGCATCACCAGGCTCTCTGGGTGTTTCGCGGCCAGAGAGAGGGGGGCAGGTGAGCGTCGCAAGCAGGACGCAGCCCCCTAGTTGTCTTTTTTATAGGAGCTGCTCTCTGCTCAGTTAGGTGAGGCACAGCAGCAGAGCAGACACCTGGGGAAAGAAGGGAGGGTTCGGAGGAAGATCAAAGAAGCAGCAAGACTCTTCTTCGGGCAGCTGAGAAGAGGAGCCAGAGCCTGTTCCAGCCCGGGAAGGGGGGCAGACAATATTTGCAAAGAGCATCAAACTTGGGTGACTCTGATCCCCATTTTACCGTTACCCCCCTGGACTGAAATTTTAATTCATCCTTAAATCTTCCCCCGCTGGAAATAGAGATAGTTTAAATAAAGGAGCTGGCTGGCAGCCTCGAAGCCGTACGGTTTTCCTGCCCACAGGTTTGGTCGCTAACACATCCCAGGTCCCACTCTGCTAGTCCCACATTGCACAGGGCCTTACTCCAGGAGTAGTCACATGCAAGCCTGGTGGACTTCTTGTGCAGTAAAGCAGAGAACCAAGCCTGTGCCCTGTAGGTCCTTATACTGCCCCCATCATTGTGGTATCAGTGCACCCTACCTCCCTCACTCACCAACATGGCTTCCCAGCAGCACTCCCGGGCTCCGCACAAATGGCTGGTAAGTGCCATAAACCCCTGAATTATCCCTTTTCTGGATCTAAGCTCATTCCTTCTTTCTTGAAAGACCCTGGGGCCCCTGGAGATGGATGAACAGGACAGAGGAGAAGGAAAGCCTGCTGTCCCTTGTGTTTAGGAGTCGGAGCGCTGTACTCACCTAGCAGCAGGTTCATGAGGACCTCCTGTCCCGCCAGCGTGCTGCTCTTCACCAGGCAAACCAGGGTGCCCCCGATCCAGGGTACGCCGTGCCCCGTGATCCCGAGGAGTGTAATCATGGAGCGGGCGCTGCCCCACGACGAGGCGCTGCTGGCACAGACCCCCAGCCTCTTGGACATGCAGATATCGATGGCCAGCAGGGAGTTGAAGGCAATTCCCTTGAAAGAGGGGTTCAGCTGCATGCAGTCCTCCTCCGGCAGCTGCTGCGATTGCCTCCGCTCCTTAGTGCCCTCGTTTTGGGTGGGAGCCAGGCCAGCTTGGCCGCCCTGCTTTCTGCTGGAGCTCCTGGTCTCCTGGGTCCCTTTCATGGGCTGGTTCAAGGAGAGGAACTCAGCCCTGTTGAGGACATTGTTCCGCTCTCTGGCTCTGGCCCGGCTTTGGGATGCTGGCATTGTGGAGTCTTCCTAGATGAAACCTGCTTTCAAAAAATTGTACACGAGAGAAATCCCTCTCCCCTGCCAATCAGCTTTCCCCACCTCCCCCCTTCAGAGAGATGAATTTAATAAGCTACACAGATTCCCTTCTTGCGCTGTCTCCTCCAGCACAGACAGCAGCTGTTAAATATAGAGTAAGGAATGCACATGGCTGTTTACTTCATGAGCCTAGCAAGCTTGGAAGAAAAATTAATGCCAGGCAGGACAGCCAGTCCAACACCAGAAAAAAGGTTAAACAGCCAATGGATACAGAGAAGAGGCGGGAAATTCTATGTGCTAAGGGTTGGTTGCTTCAGGCCTGGTCTATTTAAATCTTCCAATTGCTTATATCCCCAGGGCTGCAGGGGAGACTGGGAAATGTAGTTTTACACCAGGATTCGTCCGTCTGATTTAATGGAAGAATTAGAACTGGAAAAGTTCCCCTCTCCCTACCAGGGCAGGACTGATTCCTGCAGGCTATTGTGCAGCCTAGATTTGCAGTATCAAGAGATGGGGCTTCCTTAGGACACTGCCAAGGAGTCTTTCCAGATCTTTTCCCTTGCTTAGTTTCATCCCCATGGCTCCTAGTTGCCTCCCTTGTTTCCCTCTTGTGCTGCTGTAAATAATTCCTGCCGCTCTTTAGTGTTAGTAACCTTCAAATATTACTAGTCCTATATTCCCCAAACCCAACCACCTTTTCTAAACTCCTAGGCTCCGTCAGGCTACATCTACACTGGCATGATCTTGCGCAAGAACTCTTTTGCGGAAGAGTTCTTGTACAAAAACTCTTCCAGAAGAGAGTGTCTACACTGGCATGTGCATTTGCACAAGAGATGTGCTTTTGCACAAGAGCATCCATACCAGTGTGGAAGTTCTCTTGCACAAAAAAGCTCTGATGGCCGTTTTAACCTTAGGGCTTTCTTGCTTAAGAAATTCATGTTGCCTGTCTACACTGGCCCTTTGCGCAAGAACAGTTGCACAAGAGGGCTTATTCCTAAGCGGGAGCATCAGAGTTCTTGTGCAAGAAAGCACTGATTTCATACATTAGAACGTCAGTGTACTTGCACAAGACCCCGCAGCCAGTGTAGACAGGTGGCAAGATTTTGCGCAAAAGCAACTGCTTTTGCGCAAAATCTTGCCAATGTAGACACAGCCCTACAGTAACTGTTCCACCAGCCCGCTAGCCTCCGGGCCAGTGATGTAGCAGCACCTGCCTTTGGACTAACACTGAATTGCTAACAATTTCTCCCTTCTCTCCCACCTGCCACACTGAGTCCAGCCTCACTGTAACACATGTTTGCACCGCATCTCACAGAACCCAGATTCCCAGCAGCTGACAGGCGGATGCCTGCTGACTCGAATCAGTGCGTAAGACTACGAAGCATTTAGTATCCGTAACAGAGTAAGGTGTGACCAGACAGACCATACAGGCACAAGACCCAAAGGGAAGCATGGAGTGTGGGAAAACTGACAGGCTCAGAGAATAGGACTTGATTGGTTTATTAGGGAGAGGTGCAAGGAGCTGGTGGTTACAGGGAGTGACTTCTGTGGCCACTCAGGAGATTCAAATGCAGCCCAGCTGATTAGCAGCAGCCCACTGCTAGGTTTTTTGTTTCTACTGGTGGTTCACACTTGCTCATGCTGTGGTGCACATAAAATTTATTCTGCATGTCAATGGAAAAAATCTGCACGTGGATGGAAAAGAGCAGAGGGAACATTGATTACAGGTAACAGGTATATTACTAGCAGGCCAACTGATGCTGCACAACTTTGAGTGGGATGGGGCAGTCAATGATCAAGCGTAGCTGTTTGGGGGAGGCTACACTGGCCCTGTTTGAACATCTGGGGCCCAGTCCTACTCTCACACCAATCTTACATTGGCCTAGGGTTGCCAGATGGTTTCAACAACAATAGCAGACACACTTGACATTACATCACAATCTACATTACATCTTATTTAGAAAGTACCAGACATTTATATTTTTTCAATTTGTTTCCCAAACAGGAAGCTCAAATACTGGACTGTCGGGTTCAGAACTGGACACCTGGCAACCCTACATTGGCCCCACTCCACCGACTGCATTTAGGCCTATTCAGAGCATACATGAGAGCACGGATGGAAAGACACCTCTGCCTGATCTATGCTAGTGCTCCCACCGGAGTGGTGAAGAGTAACGTAATGCTAGGTGGTTTCCTGAGACATGCCAGGGCATGCAAGGCTCCAGCGGAAAGAGCCAGAATGTTCTGGTAGACATGGCTGTAACATAGACCTGGTAGGCAGGTAAGTTGAGGATGCTTGAAATCAATCCCTCCCTGCTCCCACCAGAGGGACTGTAGCTTTCCACAGTCCCTCTAGGACAGGGGTTGATAATAATTTTTGCCCGGGGGCCACTTCAAAAATTTGTTAAGTAATCCCGTGCCACCCTGGAATGGGTGGGGCCTAAATGGGAAAGGGTGGGGCTACCCCACCCCCAGACCATGATTGGTCTGGGGGCAGAGGTGGCCTGTCAATACAGGCGAGCTAGGCGGTCACCTAGGGTGCCAAGAAAAACAGCCGTTGAGCGCGTTGAAGGCGGGGGCACTGATCGCGCGCCGATTGCGCGTTTCACTTAGGGCGCCAGTTGCCGGCACCTTGTCTAGGGCGGCTCCTGTCCGGGGGTGGGGGAGCCCCTTTGCCCCCCCCTTCCCACTAGGTACCCACGCTCTGGAAGAAGCTTAGCACACTCTCCCACCCCAAGGCCAATCAGGGCCTAGGAGCGGGGGAGTGCAGGAAGCCTTCTCCTGCCCTGCGTGGAGCACGTGGCACTTTGAAGTTCCGTGGGCTCCTTGCAGGGCCGGGGCAGGGTGAAGGAAGCTTCACACAGCTCCCCCACCCCCAGGCTCTGATTGGCCTGGGGACAGGAGCGCAGCAGGGCCTCCGCGGGCCAGATCCACTCGCTTGGTGGGCCGGATCCAGCCCGCGGAGGCCCTGTTGCCCACCCCTACTCTAGGAAGATACTTCCTCCCTGGAATGATGCTTATTTACAGTCCTGCCTACAGTCCAGTGGGAAACCAAATGCACCCATGGGAACTGCTGGTGTTTCTGGTGCCAAACTCAATTATCTCTGCCATCTATCCAGGACACACGCACCCATGGGAACTGCTGGTGTTTCTGGTGCCAAGCTCAATTATCTCTGCCATCTATCTATCCAGGACACATGTTCCCCGGCTCTCTGGTCCAGCCAGGGCTGGCCAAGAGCATGCTGAGGGCTATGTGATCAGCTCTGGGGCACTGCCAGGCCCCACTGACTTCCGCACAGAAACCCAAAGGAAAGGAAAGAGGAGAGGTCTCTCTACTGGTGGCCAAGATTGTGATGGCTTACGCTAGGGCCTGGAGGCAATAAGAATTGTCCCCCAGACACAGGGGTTTGAAATGCTTCCCTGACAGCCCAGCCGCCGCAGTGCTTGGCCTGCGCCACATGGCGCTTACCAGCTCTTTGCAGCCTCTTGTGTTTCAACTAGGGATGTTAAGGACTAGTCGACAGGATAGTTGACTGGTCGCTTCCCCCGTCCTTGCTGCCTCGATCAGCTCAGAGGCAGCAAGGGGGGAAGAGGCGGGTACTTCAAAGGGGCAATTCTTCATGGAGCCCGGGGTCAGCTGGAGTCCCCAACTGACCCCAGCCTCTGTGTGGCATGGCCGCTTTGAAACGCTGCAGCAGTGTTTCAAAGGGGCAGCGCCCATGGAGCCCAGGATCGGTTGTGCGGCACTGCCCCTTTGATTTCAAAGTGGCAGCATCATGTGGAGCCCAGGGTCAGCTGGGGAGTGCCAGCTGATCCCCAGCTCCGTTCGGCGCTGCCCCTTTGAAACGCCATGGCGGTGTTTCAAAGGGGCAACTCTGCCCTATTAACTAATCTAATAGTCGATGCAAAAATGCACCGACTATTTGGTTAGTGAAAAACACGCTACTTCACATCCTTCGTTTCAACTCAGTGTAATCGTTCTGTCAGCAGCAAAAAGGGTGGGTCTCAGTTTTCTAAGGGTTCCTTCTGAAAACTTGAATATAGCATCAGAGTTAAAACAACACTGGGTCAAACCCTCACCCAGAAACCTGGGGAAGGTTATATAGTACCCTGGGCACTCTTGAGAGGCAGTATTTTTCCACTCACTGCCCCAAGTCAAGGGCTTTAAAACAAAGGCACTTCCCCCATCCCTTGCCCCAAGGTGTCTTCGAAATTGTTCCAAACTCAGTCCTCCTAATGCACTCTGGCCACTTCTCTCCTCCCCAGTCCCCCCACTCACAATTTGGGGTGCAGGGTTGGAGGTAGGGATGTAGAGGGTTAACTGATTACCCAGTCAACATTCACACTGCCCCAAGTCAAGGGCTTTAAAACAAAGGCACTTCCCCCATCCCTTGCCCCAAGGTGTCTTCGAAATTGTTCCAAACTCAGTCCTCCTAATGCACTCTGGCCACTTCTCTCCTCCCCAGTCCCCCCACTCACAATTTGGGGTGCAGGGTTGGAGGTAGGGATGTAGAGGGTTAACTGATTACCCAGTCAACATTCA